TGCAATGGCTTTTTGCAGAAGGGCCGCAAATCCCTTCCTACAAATCACGAACAATAACGGGGATAACGGATCCCCTTGATGGAGACCCCTTGTGGGAGTGAAGAAACCAGAAGGGTTGCCATGCACGAGGACTGAGAATGAAGCTGAACTGAGGCACTCCTGTATCCAACCTCTCCAGGTAGAGTAAACCCCATCTTCTCCAAAACCGCAAGGAGAAAGGGCCATTCGACTCTATCATAGGCCTTTTCCATGTCAACCTTTAGAGCCGTGTACCCTTTCTTTCCCTTCTCGTTTTAATTTTCGGGTAATGCATTAACTCATGTCCAATGAGAACAATGTCAACTATCTGACGTTCCCGTATGAAAGCATTTTGACCCTCCGTTATGATCTGTGGCAATAAACAGGCCAATCTTTCGGCCATGATTTTGGATATTACTTTATAAATAAATTGGCACAGACTAATCGGTATGATTTGTCTCATAGTTTCCACAGTATCCACTTTAGGCACAAGTGTTAACCAAGTATGATTAAAGCTACAGAGCATTCTGTTTGTATTAAAGAAAGAGCATACAGTCTCAATCACAGAATCCCCAAAAATGTTCCAGTAGGCTTTAAAAAACTTTCCCGTGAAACCATCAGATCTCGGAGCCTGTTTAGACCCCATCGAGAAAATAGTTTTACGCACTTCACCAGGAGCAACTTCTGTCGTAAGACTGGCATTCATGTCTGCAGTTACAGAATGTGCAATGGGTAAAGCAGTTAACCGTTCCGTCATGTTTGCCACCTGGTTTTCCGAGGTAAAGAGCGTCTGAGAAAAATTTGTGGCAATCCCCGCTTTCTCTCTTTCCTCAGTGATCCATTCCCCATCACCCTTGCGTAGGCCAGAAATAAAATTCCGCTTTCTTTGGGTTGTAGTCACCATATGTAAATACAATGTATTCTTATCACCCTTCTTGATCCACCACACCCGAGATTTCTGTTGCCAATAAATCTCCTCCGCCTCTCATTATCTATTCAATTCAACCTCCAGAACTCTAACCTCATCCCAGTTTATGGAATGGATGCTTTTGATTCTATCAATATCTTCTTGCAGAGTTCTGATATTCCGAAGAGAATTGGTAGTGCGTGCTCTGCTCCAGTCATACAGCAAATGACGGAGTTTCTTAAGTCTCTCCCAGAGGCGGAACATAGGAGTACCAGAAATTTCTTGCTACCAGACATATGTCACCATAGCCTCCACTTCCGGATTTTCTGCCCACCGAGCATCGTACCGGAAAAGGAGCCGACAATTCCGGACATAGGGTTTATCATATAGGAGCAAAGCTCGATGGTTCGATCCCTGGTCCGTGAAATGCTTGACAAGAGTATCTGGGAAGCGATCAATCCAACTCTGGGAGCAAAGTGCACGATCCAATCTTTCCTGTATACAAGCAGTTCCCATACGTTTATTAGTCCAGGTGAAAGGATCGCCTTGGTAGTCAGGATCATGTAGACCAAGGCCGTGGATAAAATTGCGGAGATCAATAGATTGGGTTACACACCAAGGATTGCCTCCATCCTTTTCAGTTGCCTGTAACGTGACATTGAAATATCCTATAACCACAAATGGTAGCTGGATCTCGTCACAAAGATCCCGTAATTGAGCCAATTGTCTGGCTCTAATTGTCGCATCACAACTAATATAAACACAAACCACCACATAAGAGAATTCCACTTCATTAATTCCGATATAGATGGAGAAGTTGGAATGAAAAAACACTGAAGCATCAACTCCGGGGGACAAAGCTACGACAAGACCTCCTGATGCATCAATCGCATCAACAAAATAACAATGAGAAGAATCAAAATCTGAACCCCGCATACGACGGGAAACTACTCTCCAACGCGATCTTGTTTCTGAAAAGAAAACAAGGTCCGATTTATTCGAATGCACTAAACCTACAGCAGTTTGGAATGTGAGGGATGGTCCAATTCCCGCACATTCCAGGCCAAAAGCCTCATCTATCTCCTTGGGACCATTTGAGGCTGGCTTCCTCCACCTTTTCATCTTCCAGAACTTCTTCCATAAATTGTTTTTAAGGAGAAGGCTCGTCATCAAGGCTTTCCACCTCAGCTTCAAGACTGCATTTTTTGCCGCCAGTCTTAGCATCCTCCAAATTAGAGCCATACTCCTTAGGTTTGAGTATCATCCCGGACTTCTTTCCTAGTGGCGAGCCCGTAGGCAAGGCAACGCTAGGTTGCTTAACAGCAGACGACCGACGACCGCCAACAACCACATTGTTCAACTTCCCAGCTTCAAAAGAGTCTACAATCTGTCGAACAAGGCCATCAACGGGAAGGGGCCGGTCCACCGGAGCAGGAGCAGCCTTTCTCCGCAGCTCGAACTGGTGGTTGTCGGAGGGGGGGGGGGGTTATCCGAGCTGAGCTCCTCGACCGCCGAGAGGTGATCCTCAAAGGCCGCCGACTCACGGCCGTCGCCTAGGTCATCCATCCAGACACCAATAGGAGGAGACTGGTTTACGCGCGGGGAGGTCAGCACCTCCTCCAAGCCCTCGTTTCCCAAGGTAATCAATCGAATGAAATTTATTAAGAATCTAACTCTCACAAAACCCCATCGGCCTAAAAGAATTCTCCTCATATCCGCCTTCATTATTTTCTCTATGATTACTATGGATTAGTAATCAACATGATTGTCATAAACCAGTTGGTCCCAATAATTCGAGTTGTTGGGAGAAGGTTATGCTGGATCTTATACAACCCCATGTATGGTACTTAACCACCTCCTTACAATGATTACTAAAGGCAAATGGGGTATGAGAAACTATATTTATTAATTTCTTTTTTTGATAAATAATAAATCAATACCAACCCATTAAAAGAACACTATCATTGCACAAACACCAATATCATTCGAGAAATAAAAACACTACCATTTCAAAAAATACAATACCATTGTAGATTTAATCAATAACAATGCGACAAAGAGGAGAGGATAGGAGATGGCGTGTGAGGGAGGAAGGGGAGGGGAGGAGGGCGGTGAAGTAGATGGTGTGTGACTCGTGAGGGAGGAAGGAAGGGGAGGCGATGGTGGCCGGCAATAGGTGGCCACTGAGTGAGTGAGTGAGTGAGAGAGAGAGAGAGATTGCGATGGAGGGGAGGAGGATGGCGGAGGTGCAGGTGCGGCAGCGGCGGTGCAGGGAGTAAGGCCTGATGGAGAATGAGGTTGTATTAGGGTTTGTGTATAATATATAGAAATTAATTTATTAAACGATAGAAATTTGGTGTGGTATTTTTTTCATTCTCAAAATTACCCTTAATCTAATATTCACCGTCAATATAAAAAATAGATAAAATAAACATAATGAATGGTGCAGATTTTGAGTAGCCACTGTGGTTACTCAATTTACTAACACATTCCTGAATTTAAAATTGAATAACCACGCTAACACATTCCTGAATTTGTATCCTAATGCATTAGGAACAATTTCAATGATAACAAATTTTTGAACCACTCACCCAATCTTTCCCTTTTTTGTGCATATACAAAATAAATCTAACACTTTAGACAAATCTCATATCAATAAAATAAGTGAGAGATTTATGAACCATAATCAACATTTTTTTCTATGAATCCTAATCAACATTTCAACATTAATTGATAATATATATTTTTTGGTGAAATGAAGAATTTCTTATACAATAGTTAAGAGATAAGAGACCTCTTAAAAAATCATCACAATATATCCAAAAACAAAATCATAATAGTATTCTGATAAGATTGAAATATTACAATACGTGGATATTTAACCCAAAAACAACCAAAAAGCACATCCCAACTATACATGTTCACTTATGGCCAAACAAGGCCCCTACCCAATTGAAAAACGATGCCTTTTGTAAGCCTTTCCCCATCATCATCATCACTATTCCCCCACAAGGGTAAATCTCATTGGATGCACCCTTGAAAAATTGCCACAAAAAGATGAAAATGTTATCTTCCCAACTCTGGTGGGTGGGCCCAGCTGCTGCCCTGGCTGGCTCGGCTTGTGATTGGCCCTTTCTCAAAATGTCCAAACAAAAAGAAGCCAACTTTTCAGCCCTTTGCTTCATTCCTCTGCTTTCCCCTTCTCCTTCCTTTTATGATACAAGATCATGTGTTCCTAGAAATGGAAAATTATGCACATTCTGTGTTAGCTTTACTTAGTCAAATCAGACTTGGTTAAGTAATATAAAGACAAGCAGAACGAATGCATTTTGCATGTGTAGACGATAATCGAGATACACAAATGGTAGAACAATACATTTTAGTAACTAAAGTGGTAATATAATTCGATATAGGTACTGATTGACACATACCCTAAAAGTAGCAAGATAGGGGATTTCTTACTTCTTAAAATGGAGCTGTTAAGGTTCTACAAAGAGTGGTCTTTTTAGGTAGCTGGCCACCCACTCCAGCAACGTACTGCCACCAAACATTAGAAAATTACAATTCGCAACCAAATTCCTAATAATCCCATAACCCATAATCATAGAAACAATTCCTTTCTCATTGTTTATTCCAAATCATCCATCATGGCTTAGCACATACGCAACAATTACATGGAGATATTAAAATAATTACGAGATTCATCCCAACAACCGCGCATACAAATAGAAAATATTTAAATTGCTCAATAATCATATATCATACCTGATAACATTAAGCTTATTGATTCTAACAATAATAGTTTCTATACTAATGCTTTGATCATTATGAGTTATTTATCACCGTTAAACCGAATGATATGGAATCAGAAGTTCATTAAGCAAATTAATCACCTCATCTTTATTTAGTTTGGATCTGAGCTTCGCATTCTCCATCTTCAAGCGATCGACTTCATTCTCCAGTTCCTGAGTGTAAGCCTAAACAAGATTAAACCCATCAAATTTTTAATGCAATGATTCAAAACTTTGAAAGGAATGAAATTGCTACAAACAAAAAGGGAAGTGGAATTTATGTTTTAAGTCATAAACGAAACAGAGGAAGTTTCCTGTTTTCTAGCTCTGGAACGAGCAGCAGATTCCCTGTTCTTCATCCTTCGCTTCTGCCACTGCTCGCCTTTTCCTCCGCCGCCGTCGGCTCTCGATCTCTTCCCGTGGGAAGGGAAAACCAGAGGAGGGTTGGAGTTTCGATTAGTGAAACTAGTGCTGAAGTTGGAAAAGCCAGGGGAAAGCAGAGGATGTGGAGAAATGGGCGCCGGCGGGTTCCCACCGCCGCCGCCGGCGGAGAGGATTCCGAAGTGGAAGACGGAAGAAGATCTGGCGGCGGAATCTGATAAACTTGGCGGGAGCGTTGGCTGTCGGAGAGAACCCAAATTGATGCCCTGCCAGACGTCTTCCATGGATTTCCCGGCGGTGAGAGGGCTCGCCGGCGGTGAAGGGGAGGAGAAACCGGAGGAAGAAGAGGTTTCCGGCCGCATTTTTTCTCTCTTTCTTATCTGAGTGTGAAATGGAAGAGTGAAGTGGAAGGAGTGATGTGGCTCTGTGTCTGTGTGTTCTGATGTTTATGGAGGAACATATACGGGTAGTAAATAGTAATAAAATAATTAAAAGGGGATGTGTACAGTAATTTGGTTAGCTCAGCTGCCGTTGAATTGGGTTTCAATTGCGGGGTGCAACTTGCAATATTTTTTGGCCATAATATAAATTTTCAATTGGTTTGGTTGGAAAATAAACAATAAATGTCAAGTTGACATGGTGCTTTGTATCATGGTACGTACCATGGAATTGGTCCCATTAGTTCAAAAAGATTGCAGAGTGACAAGGAGTGATCAGTGATCACTGCCCTTGATTTAGAATTCTCTTACTTTTATGTAACACAAAAGCTTTGCATACTTAACCTTTATACTTTTTTTGGTCATATAAAAGAGTTAAGCTTTTCTAACAAAAGAGCACTTAAATTGTGGTGTCCACGTTTAGTAACCCAATTCGCGTGCATAGTCCCGGCGCTCCCGTGTTATTTCGCGAAAACACGAATTCTTTAGAAAGCGCCTAAAATCCGCGCACTGAGTATTATAAGAGCGCGACTTTTTGAAGGGAGAGCGCCGATTTCTGGTGACCTTGCTTCCTCGATGGAATTGGCTCGGAAAAAGCGGCGGTCGTCATGTTTCATCCTCCTCCGACACCATTCGATGACTTCAGTGTCTCATCAACACCAGATGAACTTTAGAGCTCCATCTTCCCTCCAATCGCCATCGACTACCTTTCACCGACTCCACCAAAGAATAACACCGCTATTCAATACGGGGACTGACGAACTTTTAGGGTTCGGATTTGAAAAGGGGAATTTCAATATTAGAAGGATTGAGAGAGTAATCATTGTCGATCGGCGTATGAATCATCTTGGGTAGAGAGGGGACGATGGAGTTGGGAATCAAGATCGAGAAGTAAAGACGGAAGGTTGTGATTCTTTTCCTTCGCCAAGCTTGTTGAACTGTGGGTGGAGGTGGGGGGTAAATGGCGATAGGATAGAGACAAGGGATACAAATTTCTTTTATTTGCTCATTTTATAAAAAAAAAATATATAAATAATGAAATAAGTAGTAGCGTAAACAAAGTAGAAATAATTTTCTTTAACGTAAATATTCACCAATTTCATAAACTCTCATTTATGGGAGTAAGTTGTGATATTATAGCTAATATTTTGTATAATATTTTCATAGAAAATATAAATTATTAATTAAAATAATATAATATTAATGCTCTATTCACGCTCTCAATATTGAGTTCTTGAGAAATCGACACTCCGACGCTCTCGTTCCCGCTCCTGCTCTGCGATCTGGTTACCTAAGTCCATGTTATGTATTCTGAGATGTTTGGCACCTAGTCAAGAATGTCAATTCAATCGTTAGGAAGTCGATTACCAACAAGTGATTGGGTAACTCAATAAGTTTTTACATGCAGTTTAGTTATGAAGAACTCTGTTATGATGAAGAGTGTGTCTATTTTTATCCAGATTTTTGTTAGATTCTTTTATATTATCCAAACTATTAAAATGCTATTAATTAGCCAAATATTTTATAATGCATCAAAATATTAATCATTTTTACGTTATCATTAATAATTTTGTAACTCTTGTCTTAGTTAAAATGCTAAAATTTTGCAATGTTTACCTTCATGTGTCTCTTCCAAATCAGTATCACGGTAGGCTGAACTATAATTAATGTAAAATTCTTCATCATCAAAATTTTTGGTGAAGTCCTTTGGTGTTTTTAATGGTAGAATTACTTATAGAGATATCGAAACCAAGTACATTAGGAGTGAATCCAGAATGAATCCAATTATGATCGAGGAGCCATTCACCGCAAAACAAGCAAATCTAATTTGCTTTCTTAAAGCATCGTGGGAGAAAAAGGCAATTGCGAGGTTGGATTATTGGCGTGCATTAGCAGTCAGTACTCAGTAGTGTACTAGTGTCATAGTGTGTTTATCTATGATTACATTGTTTTATACTTTTATTCATAAATTAATTAACACATGGCACTATGCTTACCCTAAATTATTGATTCCATTACCAAAACTAGTGAGTTGTGGAGTTTGCCCATATTTGGCTGCCGTTCGTTTTTTTAATTAATAATTATTGGCCTGGGATGTGCCAAATGCTTTGGATTAAGCCAACCCCATGTGGCTATCTTGCCACATTCCAACCACTTGAATAAATTAGTGCTCCGTTGTTTTTTAATGCCACGGTTTGCCCAAGAAAAAGCACTTGGTAGCATAGTTAGTAAAATACGGTACGGGGAAGTTACGTAAAAAATACGTACGAGTATTTTACGATGTCTCTAAACTAAAGTTACGTTTAATAGTACGTTAATAGCAATAAATATATAAAAAGTAATTATTTTAAAAATAAATAAATATATAAATAATAGTAAAGTTCACTATTTAATTCATTAAATACGGATATTAAACGTGTTATACGGGTTTTATACGTGTTTAGTACGGGAGCCATTCAATGAACGGAAAAAAATGAAACGGCTTGACAATCATACGTATACGGGAGTTTTAAACGGATAAAGTACGTACGGGTACATATACGTGTATTAAACGGAGTATTTACTAACTATGCTTGGTAGTCTATAAAAAAAAAAAAGAGTACTTGGTAGTACAAAGGAAAATGAGAAAAAAAAAAAGAAGCTTAAGTTGTGGGGGTATTCGAGGAATTAGTGGGGTATTTACCATAGGTTAAGTGTATACGAATTAGGTGGATTTGGCCTCTTGATTGGAATATTTAGATTTAGTTTGTGATAAATTGTGTTACTTTATAGGGAACTCCTACCATGCCTTGAAGTTACTATAACTTGACGTTTTTTACCTGCTATAGCAGGTTTTATAGGCCGCGTTACGTAAAACTAATGTTTATTACGTAACAATTACGTAATGCTTGTTAGTCTTACGTAACAGTTAAAATAGAAGCGTTACGGAAGGTTTCTGTAACGACTTATCATATTACGTAACGCTAGATTAATATTCATTACGTAAAAACATCGTCTATTACATAAGGCTTCCGTAATGACATTTTAAAACTGTTACATAAAATACACGCTCATTACGTAAAGGTTACGTAACGAAGGTTATTTATTACGTAACAGTTAAATTAGAAGTGTTACGTAAGACTTCCGTAATGACTTACCACATTACGTAACTTGATTAATATCATTACGTAAAAGGACCATCCATTACGTAAGGCTTCCGTAATGCCACTTTACAACTGTTACGTAAAGTATGCATCTATTACGTAAAGGTTACGTAACGATAGTTATTTCTTACGTAACAGTTAAATTAGAAGTGTTACGTAAGCCTTCCGTAATGATTCAACAGATTACGTAACGAAAGGTTAATATTCATTACGTAAAATGAGTGTCTATTATGTAAGGTTTCCGTAATGACATTTTTCAACTATTACGTAAGATAAACACACATTACGTAACCATTACGTAATGCCTATTGTATTTTACGTAATGCAACTTGTGAAACATATTATAGCAGGTCAAAAACATCAAGTTACCATAACTTCAAGGTATTGTAGGAATTTCCTACTTTATATTTGTAGAGATCTCCTACGGTAACTTGAGTATAATTTGAAGTTAAATAATTTGTATAGATCTAAACCGTTAAAATAAATTAAAATTATTTTAAGCCATTGATTAAAAAAATAAAAACAAAAAAGAAAGACGAGCACCCACCACCGCCGGTCACCACTTTCCCCTTTTAACTTCTTTTTGTTTTTTTTCCCTTTTTCACATCCACGTTTATTTTGATTTTTTTTTCATATTTTTTTAAAAAAATTCTTATCCTTTTTAATTACATCGGTTACGTAAACTACGCATCTATTACGTAAAGATTACGAAATGCATAATGAATATTCATTACGTAAGAAGACCGTCCATTACATAAGGCTTCCGTAATGACCTTTTACAACTGTTACGTAAGATAAGAATATATTATGTAACCATTACGTAACACCTGTTGTGTTTTACGTAATGCGACCTGTGAAACCTGCTATAACAGGTAAAAATATTCAAGTCACCTTACTTCAAGTCACCATAGGAAATCCCTATATTTGTATTGGCAATTCTTGGTTGATTTTTTTTATAAGAATATATTACGTAACCATTACGTAACACCTGTTGTTTTTTACGTAATGCGACTTGTGAAACCTGCTATAGCAGGTAAAAATATTCAAGTCACCATAGGAAATCCCTATATTTGTATTGGCAATTCTTGGTTGATTTTTTTATAAGGATTAATTGAGTTTTTATCCATCGCATATAAAAATTGAGGCATACTAAATCATTTATTGTATCACCAGCAGAGCTAAGGTCTTTTCAATCCTCCAGACGGACTCCCTCGCGGCAATCGAGCTAATCGAATCAGCCACTAGCACGCACCCGCACTATCATACTGTTTTGCAAGTGCGGAGGATGATGCATCGCGATTGGGAAGTCCGAGTTGGGCATATCAATAGGGAGGGCAATGTGGTAGTGGATTTCTTGGATTCGACGGAGCATGCGTTACCTGTTGGAGTTCACCGGATTTCGATCCCCTATCTACTGTTGCAGTACTGAATGTTTTTGATCTTGTAGAGAGTCAATCTCCCAAATACATTTTCCAGTAGTTGTTAAGGCGCAGAGCGCCTTGTTCTTACAGGGAAAAAAAAAGAGCCAAGGTCTTTCATTGACAAACTTACAATTACTAATAATCTCCCAAAATGTCAATCTCTCACTCGAATACTAAGGAGCATGAATGAAAATAAGAAATATAGCACAACCTAATTTGAGGAAAACATGAATAAAAAAAAAGACGAGTGGTCTAAAACGTTGACCACGAGACGTTCTTAACAAAGTGCTAAACCACCTCTCCTATCAACTTCTAATATTTGCGCTTAGTTTCTTGTTAGTAAAGTCTAAAGTGTTGATGT